CAATGTTTGAATACCGATCTGCGTCGATCTCGGTCGTTCGTTCGGGGATACGTAGTCCTCTCTCGTCTGTTGGATCCATCTTATTCAGGGAATGAATCTGGACGGCACGATTGGATTAAATCTGACAATTCGATCGAACTTGAAAAGAAAATGCATCTAGGTTGTTCACGCTTGCGAGATGAGATCTGGACCATCGAATCGCCGGGCACGCGGATCGTTCATGTGGTTTCCCGCGTGGTGCTGATGTCAGTAAGGTTGCCACGCGACGTGCTCTGGTTTGTTGAGGCTACTGGTCGAGTTTTCTTACGTGGCCGAACTTTTTTTATTACGTTTAAACCCTTTATTTTCAAATTTTCTTTAAAAAACAATACTTGAATTTAAAATTTCACATTTTTTTCTAGAATTAATTTCAATTTCGTCTGTAATTTATTTTTTTCAAAAATAAAATAAAATAAAATTAAAATTAATAAATTTAATTAATTATTTTTTTAAAAAAATAAAATAACAAAAAAAAATCATTCTGGATCGATTTTCGGACTCGGGTATTACACATATGCAGTCTGAAAAGAAAGAAGTGGCTTCTACCTAATTTATTTTCACCTTATGTTTCTATGAATTATAAGAACTAAACTCCATCAATTTAGCCTATGATTGTTTCTTATTCATAGAGATTTTTCTTTTTAACCCACAATCTCAATGGAGCTCTTTTCTCTCTTGAAATATTTTGTGATGCTTGATCACTTTATTTTATTGTTCTTCCAAAATTGGTGAAAGTAAAAATAGATTAATTCTGCATTTGAAATCATGGATTAAGATTTAGGACAAAATGTGAATGGAGATGTATTCTGGGTATTGACGAAATACAAAGATCATATATACATATATATATGTGTGTGTGTGTGTGTGTATATATATATATTCTTAAAAAGAAAAAATGCAAATTACAGAGAAAGATTTTGTGATCCAAAATGCAAGGGAAAAAGAAAAGAGCACACAGTTGTAATTTCGAAAATGATAGAACCTTAGAAATGGAAACTAAAACATTCTCCTTCAGCCACCCATTATTAACTCTACTTTCGAAAAGAACAAAGAAATTATGGAAGCTGGAAATGAAGAAGAAGAAGAGAAGTTTTACAGGTTCTTGTTTTCTTTTTCCGCCAGGAAGAAGTTTTGTAAGTTGAAATGAAATAATTATATCATGAATTTCCCCCTTCCATATCATGTATATATATATATATGTATGTTACATATATGTATAATTTAATCTTGAATATAGAGAAAAATCATATATGTATATATATAATTGCTGACAACAAAAAGTTTTTCCAAGGGTTGACTAGAACTTCATATTAATATATAGATCCATTATTCACCGACAATGAATAAACTAATTAATCAAATCTCATTCTCTAAAGAATACAAAAGAAATCAAATCAAATCTTTGATTACCTCATACATATATATATATATATATATATACATACATACATATGTTACATGTGCATATAATAAAATTTGAGATTGAGTTAAACAAGGTGGTGGACTTTCAGAGGTTACAATTTCTTGAAGGCCATAAATAAATATTTAAACATTGAGTTATATATAGATATAGAATGAGAGTGAAGTATCACGTAATCCACATATATATATATATATGTATGTGCATGATCTTTTTTCATTTTTTTTTAACTAAAATAAAAATAATATGTTATCATTAGTTATAAATTTTACATATTATATAATGATAAAATTTTAGGTAGTATTTATTCAAAATTTTAAATATAGAAAAAATTGATGTAATAATTATAATTGTATATATTATATAGAGATCAAATATTAAATATTATTCATTCAAATTTTAAAATATAAAAATAAAATTAATGCAAGAATATCCATAATAATTATTTATTTAAAATTTTAAAATATAAAAATAAATTTTAATTTTCAATTAAATTCTAAAATTTTATTAAATTTTAAAATAAAATTTGATTTTTGATTAAATATAATTTATTTATTAATAAAATTTTAAAATATAAGAATAAAATTATAAATAATATTTTATAATTTTAAATATAAAAATAATTTATAATATAGAATAGTGATTTAAATAAGAAATAAATTTTAATTTTAAGCAAGTGCAATTTATATTTTTGCATAATTAATTTTTAAAATTTATATCCGTCATACCAAGAAAGATATAAGGCACCGATTTCCCTTGATCAGGGTGCAACTTCCACGGACCCCCTTCATGTTTGCGCCCTGACCCTTGCTATCGAAGGTTGTCTTCTCTTCCTGAGATATGTGTATAGGGAAATATCTATTACATATTTCCGATTTCAATATCTTTCTGATTCGTAATTATTGCACTTGTTCTTTTAAATATGAATACCCCTTTACAAGTGGACGTAATCTCATCTGGATCAAGTTTAGCCTCTATATATGTGTATATATATTGTCTTCACTGAATTGTGTTGGGTCAGAGTGAACCAAATACAATAACAATGGAAGTAGAAATCATTTCTCAAGAGAACATAAAACCATCTTCCCCGACACCTCAGCATCTTCGAGTCTTTAAGCTCTCTCTTTTAGATCAGTTCATGCCTTCTATATATGTCCACCTTCTCCTGTTTTATGATTTCTCCAAAAATGATCGTCACTGCGGTAACCATTATCTTCATCATCAACATAGTACCTTGGAACGACTACAGTTGCTAAAGAAATCTTTGTCAGAAACATTAACTCTCTTTTATCCTCTTGCTGGAAAGATGAAAGATGATTTTTCCATCGACTGTGACGACGAAGGGGCTAATTGCTTGGAGGCTAGAGTTAACTGCACCCTCCATCAATTTCTTTTCAAGCCTGATCTTGTGTTATTGCATAAATTTCTTCCTTGTCAACCTCTTCTTTCGACAAGATCAGTTGCCGGAACTTATGTAACCAACATTCAAGTTAATGTATTTGAGTGTGGAGGAATTGCTATTGGCATGAGCATTTCACACAAGATCGTTGATGGCGCTGCACTCAGCACCTTCCTTGAGGTGTGGAGTGCTAATGCTCGTGACAACACCTGCAACAAGAATATTGATATTGGTGATTTATTATCAGTAAGCTTTGTTTCCACTAGTCTCTTCCCCGCGACGGAGGACCCCTGGCTAAGAGATTCAGCCACTGAGATGTGGGGTTCGTTGTTGAAGGAAGCCAAGTTTGTGACGAGGAGATTTGTGTTTGATGCGCCGGCAATAGCCAGCCTCAAGGACCGAGCAAGGAGCTCGACTCGAGTGGAGGCTGTTTCAGCACTTATATGGAAGTGCACCATGGCAGCATCTCAACAAAAACATGGAATCTCAAGACGTCGTTTACTGACGCACACCGTGAACCTGCGGACAAGAATGTCACACCCTGCATCGAAGAATTCGTTGGGAAATCAGGTGTGGATCGCGAGTGCTCGACTCAGGGCAGATGAGGAGAGAGACCTGGACCAGTTAGCAAGGGAGGTTAGAGTTGGAATATCAAAAATCAATGGTGATTTCGTAAAGGAAATAGGAGGGAAAAAAGGGAAAGAAATGATGTTGGATTGTGTAACAAAAATAGGGGCGTTTGGCAGTAATGAGGAAGAGGAGTATTTGGGGTTCACGAGTTGGTGTAAGCTTGGGTTCTATGAAGCTGATTTTGGGTGGGGGAAACCTCTGTGGGTTAGCAGCATTGGATTTGAAGCTCCAATATTTATGAACTATGTTGCTTTAATTGATACCAGGTTAGGTGATGGCATAGAAGCTTGGATCACCATGGATGAAGAGGAGATGATAATATTACAAAATGACAATAATCTTCTTAACTATGCTTCCATAGATCCTACTCCTTCTATGGTTGTTCAGAGTATGTGATTTTTTTAAATGGGTATTTCCAATAAGATCACATGGGGTGTTTCAACTTTTTTTTTCTTAAATTATATATTAAGAAAACACTGAATATAACATACATAATTTAATGTTGAAAATGGAGAAAATAAAAAACTACTTGCGTGTTACAATTATATGTGTGTCTGTGTATATATATATAATTTCTGACGGCAAATGGTCATCTTTATTCATTATATATTGTATCATAATGGAAAGGTATCAGTCACCTCCACACTACACAACTTTGAAAGGGTTGTCGTTTCACGTTCTGCTAGCTACTCCCACTGTCGCTTGCTTTATTTTTTCTTCTTCTTCTTTTAACAGCATTCACTTTAAAAATTATCAGATTCGTCGTAAATAAGTCCGGAACTTTATATTAATATATAGATCCATTCTGCATCAACTTAATTAATAAACTAATTAATCAAATCTCATTCACAATATATATATATATATATGTATATATATGTATATCCCTTCACAAGTGGACGTACTTTACCTAAATCAAGTTTAGCCTCTATATGTGTATATATTGTGTTCTCTGAATTGCATCCGGTCAGGGTGAACCAAATACCATAATAATGGAAGTAGAAATCAATTCTCAAGAGAACATAAAACCATCTTTCCCGACGCCTCAGCATCTTCGAGTCTTTAAGTTCTCTCTTTTAGATCAGTACGTGCCTTCTTCATATGTCACACTTCTTCTGTTCTATGATTTCTCCAGAAATGGTCGTCACTGCACTGACCATGATCTTCATCGTCAAAATAGTACCCTAGAACGAATACAGCTGCTAAAGAAATCTTTATCAGAAACGTTAGCTCGCTTTTACCCCCTTGCTGGAAAGATGAAAGATGATTTTTCCATCGACTGCAACGACGAAGGCGCTAATTTCTTGGAGGCTAGAGTTAACTGCACCCTCCATCAATTTCTTTTCAAGCCTGATCTTCTGTTATTGCATAAATTTCTTCCTTGCCAATCCGCTCTTGTGACAGGATTAGTTGCCGGAACCTATGTAACCAACATACAAGTTAATGTATTTGAGTGTGGAGGTATTGCTATTGGCATGTCCGTTTTACACAAGATTGTTGATGCCGCTGCACTCAGCACCTTCCTTGAGGTGTGGGGTGCTAATGCTCGTGACAACACCTGCAACAAGAATATTGATATTGGTGATTTGTTATCAGTAAGCTTTGTTTCCTCTAGTCTCTTCCCTGCCAAGGAGGACTTATGGCTCAGAGATTCAGCCAATGAGATGCGGCGTTCGTTGTTGAAGGAAGGCAAGTTTGTGACAAGGAGATTTGTATTTGATGCCGCTGCAATAGCCAACCTCAAGGACCAAGCAAGGAGCTCGACTCGAGTGGAGGCAGTTTCAGCACTGATATGGAAGTGCATCATGGCAGCATCTCAACAAAAACATGGAATCCCAAGACGTTGTTTACTGATGCACGCCGTGAACCTACGGAGAAGAACGCCACAACCTTCATCAAAGAATTCGTTTGGAAATCAGGTTTGGGTAGCTAAGGCTCGATGCAGGGCAGATGAGGGGAGAGAGCTGGACCAGTTAGCAAGGGAGATTAGAGTTGGAATATCAAAAATCAATGGTGATTTTGTAAAGGAAATAGGAAGGGAAAAAGGGAAGGAAATGATGTTGGATTGTATAAAAGAAATAATGGAGTATGGCAATCAAGACGAAGCGGATTGTTTGGGGTTCTCCAGTTGGTGTAAGCTTGGATTCTATGAAGCTGATTTTGGGTGGGGGAAACCTCTGTGGGTTAGCACCATTGGATTGAAAGCTCCAATATTTATGAACCTTGTTATTTTAACTGACACCAGGTTAGGTGATGGCATCGAAGCTTGGGTCACCTTGGATGAAGAGGAGATAATAATATTACATAATGACAATAATCTCCTCCTCAACTATGCCTCTTTAAATCCTACTCCTTTGACTTATATTTAGTATATGTGATGTATTAGAATTGATATTTCTAATAAGATGACGTCCAGTTTATAATCTTCTTTCTTAAATTGCAGATTAGTGACAAAATTTTGCTTTCTGATAAACATTTTAGAAAAATATAAAACACCATTCATTGAATCAACGATTATTCACAGAAAGTTAATGGGTGCTACCTGGAAGTGGGTGTATTCATTGAATAGGTACAACATGGTTCCAGATCATAGTTTGATCCATCAGATCTTTTTTGTTGCATGCCCATGGTTTCGCCTGCAAATTTCTAAGATAAAGAAATCTCAAATCTTTAGCTTTTGTAAAGAATGGTTTGGTTGTGGATGGTGGCTCCACAATCTTGTAAACTGATATTAGTATCTTTGCCACTGGTTATAAAAGTGATGAAAAGCTGAAAAATAGCTTTGCTTCAGCTTACTTCTAAGACTGCTTACTCCGACTCCATTCTACAGGCAATGATCATTGCCTCCTTTCATATATTTTCCACCTTTAACTCAATGTACAACAATGGCAGGGAAAACAAAGGAAGATGGAAGCTGGAAATGAAGAAGAAAGGAAAAGTATTATAAGTTGAAGGCATATACAATGAATTCTTCCTTTCTTTATCATGTATATGCATGTTACATATATAATTTAATGTTGAATATGGAGAAAATAAAAGACTACTTTGGGTGTTACAGTTATACACACACACACACACACACACATATATATATATACATATACACTAAATGTGTCTAATAAAATTAAAGATTTGAGTTAATCAAGAAGGTGGGGGGTTTTCAGATCTTACAGTTCCCTAGATGGCATAGAAAATTTACAGATATATATACAGTAGAGTATCGGTAATCTATATACATATGTATATATGGCGTTTTGTTAATTTTTTAATTTAAAAATAAAAATAATATGTTAATATTAATTATAAATATATATGATAAAATTTTAAGTATTCTTCGTTCAAATTTTAAAATATAAAATAGAATTAATATAATATATATTATATATAGAGACAAAATATTAAATGTTAAATATTATCTGTGTAATATTAAATAAAATTAATTATAAGATAACATAAAATATTAAATATTAAAATATAGACAGATAAAATTATTAAATATTATCCACTTAAAATTTGAAATATAAAAATAATATTAATTCGAGAATTTGCTTCTTATTTGCTGACTAACACAAACTAATAAAACTCGTCAATTCAACTTGATATATATATATATATATATAATACATATAAACAATTTTATTAATTTTCTGATTCACAATTATTTCACTTTATATATATATATATGTGTGTGTGTGCCTGTGTGTGTGTGTGTATATATATATATATCCCTTTAGAATTAGGCATAGTCCCACTTAAATCAAGTTTAGCCTCTATATATATATGTGTGTGTGTATATAGTCTTCACTGAATTGCATCCGGTCAGGGGGAACCAAATACAATAACAATGGAGGTAAAAATCATTTCTCAAGAAAACATAAAACCATCTTCCCCAACACCTCAGCAACTTGGAGTCTTTAAGCTCTCTCTTTTAGATCACTTCATGCCTTCTTCATATATCCCACTTCTCCTGTTTTATGATTTCTCCAAAAATGTTCGTCACTGCACTAACAATCATCAACACGGTACCCCAGAACCAGTACAGCCGCTAAAGAAATCTTTATCAGAGACATTAACTCTCTTTTACCCTCTTGCTGGAAAGATGAAAAATGATTATTCCATCGACTGCAACGACCAAGGGGCTAACTTCTTGGAGGCTAGAGTTAACTGCACCCTCCATCAATTTCTTCTCAACCCTGATCTTTTGTTGTTGCATAAATTTCTTCCTTGCGAATCCGCTCTTTTGACAGGATCAGTTACCGGAACTTATGTAACCAACATCCAAGTTAATGTATTTGAGTGTGGAGGTATTGCTATCGGCATGTGCGTTTCACACAAGATCGTTGATGCAGGTGCACTTAGCACCTTCCTTGAGGTGTGGACTGCTAATGCTCGTGACAAAACCTGCAACAAAAATATTGACATTGATGATTTATTATCAGTAAGCTTTGCTTCCACTAGTCTCTTCCCTGCGACGGAGGACTTATGGCTCAGAGATTCAGCCACGGAGATGTGGGGTTCGTTGTTGAAGGAAGGCAAGTTTGTGACAAGGAGATTTGTGTTTGATGCTCCGGCAATAGCCAGACTCAAAGACCGAACAAGGAGCTTGACTCGAGTGGAGGCTGTTTCAGCACTGATATGGAAGTGCACCATGGAAGCATCTCAACAAAAACATGGAATCCCAAGACACTGTTTATCGATTCACGCCGTTAACCTACGGAGAAGAATGCCGCATCCTTCATCAAAGAATGCGTTGGGAAATCAGGCGTGGATAGCGAGTGCTCGACGCAGGGCAGATGAGGAGAGAGAGCTGGACCACATAGCAAGGGAGATTAGAGCTGGAGTATCAAAAATCAACGGTGATATTGCAAAGGAATTAGGAGGGGAGAAAGGGAAAGAAATAATTCTGGATTTTATAAAAGGAATAGGGGAGTTTAGCAGTAAAGATGAAGCGGAGTATTTGGGGTTCTCCAGTTGGTGTAAGTTTGGGTTCTATGAAGCTGATTTTGGATGGGGAAAACCTTTGTGGGTTGGGTTAGCACCATTGGATTGGATGCTCCAGTACTTATGAACCTTGTTATTTTAATTGATACCAGGTTAGGTGATGGCATAGAAACTTGGGTCACCATGGATGAAGAGGAGATGATGGTATTACGAAGTAACAATGATCCTACGGATAATAAGAACTTAACTCGATTATTTTTTTACTTCTTACAATTTTTTTTAACCCGTAATCTGGACGTAACTCTTTTCTCTTTTGAAATTATGGATTAAGATTTATGATAACATGTGAATGGAGATGTATTTTGGGTATAAGCCAAATAGGAAGATTGTTATTTATATATATATATATATATATATATGTATATATATTTCATGTGTTCAGGATAAAGTTGACGACGGAGTTAACCAAGAATTTGTGAGTTTCAAAGATTACAATTCCTAGATGCCATAAAAAAAAATAATTTAAAGATTGAATTATATATACAGCAAATATCTGCTTAAATTTTAAAATATAAAATAAAATTAATATAATTATTATAATTATATAGAATAAAATTTTAAATATTATTGATTCGATGTTTAAATATAAAAATAAATTAATATGAGAACATGATAATTATTTTCTGTAATTTTTAATTGATTACAAATCATGCAATTCTATAATTTATAAAATGTGAATATAATTTTTAATAATATATAATAGTTATTTATTAAAAATTTCTAAAAGTAAAAAATAAAATTTATATTTTAATTTACTACAAGTCATATACTTTATGATTTTTAAATATAAAATACTTTATAGTATATAATAGTTATTACCTAAGATTTTTAATAAAAAAATAATATCTAATTTTTAATTAACTACAATTTTATAATTAATTTTTAAAATTATACACACTGTAACATGAAATTATTGTCATGAATTTTTTTTAATTTTAATCTTATGAAAAATAATTTTTATATTGATTGGTAGAGAAAATATTACATAGTTATTGACGAAAACAGGATTAAAATCCATTAATATATAATACATATATATATATATATATATATATATAAAACTCTTTGGAATTGGACATATAAAGCCAAGTTTAGCCTCTATATGTATATGTATATATAGAATTGCTCAGGGTCAGGGTGAACCAAATACAATGACAATGGAAGTAGAAATCATTTCTCAGGAGAACATAAAACCATCTTCTCCCACACCTCAGCATCTTCGAATCTTCAAGCTCTCTCTTTTAGATCAGTTCGCTCCTTCTTCATACGTCACACTTCTTCTCTTTTATGATTTCTCTAAAAATGGTCGTCACTGCACTAACAATCATCTTCATCATCAACACAGTACCTTAGAACGACTACAGCAGCTAAAGAAATCTTTATCAGAGACGTTAGCTCGCTTTTACCCTCTCGCTGGAAAGAAAAAAGATGATTATTCTATTGACTGTGACGACGAAGGGGCTAATTTCTTGGAGGCTAGAGTTAACTGCACCCTCCATCAATTTCTTTCTAAGCCTGATCTTGTGTTATTGCGTAAATTTCTTCCTTGCCAACCGTTTCTTTTGATTGGATCAGTTGCCGGAACTTATTTAACCAACATCCAAGCTAATGTATTTGAGTGCGGAGGCATTGCTATTGGCATGTGCGTTTCACACAGGATCGTTGATGCCACTGCACTCAGCACTTTCCTTGAAGTGTGGACTGCTAATGCTCGTGACAACACCTGCAACAAGAATACTAATATTGGTGATTTGTTATCAGTCGGCTTTGTTTCCACTAGTCTCTTCCCCGCGACGGAGGACTTATGGCTCAGAGATTCGGTGACTGAGATGCGGGGTTCGTTGTTGAAGAAAGGCAAGTTTGTGACAAGGAGATTTGTGTTTGATGCGCTGGCAATAGCCAGCCTCAAGAACCGAGCGAGGAGCTCCACCCGAGTGGAGGCTGTTTCAGCACTAATATGGAAGTGCACCATGGGAGCATCTCAACAAAAACATGGAAAACCAAGAAGTTGTTTGTTGACTCACGTCGTGAACCTGCGGACAAGAATGTCACATTCTGCATCTAAGAATTCGTTGGGAAATCAGGTGTGGATAGCGAGTGCTCGACTCAGGGCAGATGAGGAGAGAGAGCTGGACAGATTAGCAAGGGAGATTAGAGTTGGAATATCAAAAATCAATGGTGATTTTGTAAAGGAAATAGGAGGGGAGAAAGGGAAAGCAATGATGTTGGATTGTATAAAAGAAATAAAGGAGTACGGCAGTAAAGATGAAGTGGAGTATTTGGGGTTCACAAGTTGGTGTAAGCTTGGGTTCTACGAAGCTGATTTTGGGTGGGGGAAACCTGTGTGGGTTAGCAGCATCGGATTGGAAACTCCAATATTTAGAAACCTTGTTGTTTTAATTGATAGCAGGTTAGGTGATGGCATAGAAGCTTGGGTCACCATGGATGAAGAGGAGATGATGATATTACAAAGTGATAATCATCTCCTTAGCTATGCTTCGTTAGATCCTAATCCTTTAACATCTCTTTAAAATATACGATTTATTAGAACCGATATTTCAAATATAATATAAATTATAGATTAAAGAAGTTAGTAAATTATTCATTTTATTATACTGTTATATTATTAAATTCACGAAAAAACTTATATTTATATAAACAAATATTAGTTTATATTGAAATTAATATACATAAAAAGATTATACTTACATAAAACTTCTACTTAAAAAAAATTTACTTGAAATATGGAGAAAATAAAAGACTACATGCATATTACCATCATAATGGAAGGTATCAATCAACTTTGAAAATGTTGTCTCTTTCATGGTCTGCTACTCACTCCTACTATGGCTTTAAAATTATCAAATTCCATCTTAATAAGTCTGGAACTTTATGTTAATATATATATATATATATATATAGATCCATTCTTCATCAAGTTATAATTAAATAATTTATCAAATCTAATTCTCTATAAAAAGAAGAAGAAAACAAATGAATTCTTTGATTACATCGAACATATGTATATATATATATATATACATGATGTGTAGAATAAAATTAAAGATCGAGTTAATCAAGAATGTGGAGGTTTCAAAGATTACAATTCCTTAGATGCCATAAAAAAAATAAAATTTGATTTTTTTTTTGGATACAAAGAAAAAGTAACAAAATAACTAAATAAAACAATCAAATATGTTTATTACATAATTTGAGGCAAAAACCACTAAGTATATCCTCACAGATGACGCTCAGGAATTTAGGAGCTATATGCATAGTAATTTTGTATAATATTTTGCTCTACGTGAAAGCATTTCTTTTTGTATTGATTTTAAAAAATTGCTTATTTTTTTATTATAAAAATTTTAAATGAAACTTGAACATTACAAATTTAAATACTTCATTTTATTTATATACGTTGTGAGAATAAATTATTTTTTCAAAATTACACTCAACCGAATTGTAACAATTTACGAATATAATTATTAAATATATCATGATAACTTCTTTTGTTAAATATATGTGTAATAAACCAACATATAATCTGCATAGTATAATATTTTAGAATTATTTTTTTTTTTGAAAGAATTAATTTGGTGTGTCAATATATTATATTATTATAATATTTTTTTAATTTTAATATATCTTACATTTAATTCTCATAAAAAAAATTAAAAATATTTTAGATAATAAGTTACTAATTAAAATAATAATAAAGAAAAAATTATTATTCTATTAATAATAATAGTAACAAAAATACACACCGAGAAAAGTCGGCAAGGTGCAAAAAACAAATATATAAAATTGTTTTTTTTTCTTGTGGACCCACCCACCATGTGGAATGTGGTATTGTGCGTAGGCCCAATGATGGTCTGGATGACGTAATAAATATTTTTTTCTTATTTTTCGGTGTGGTTGGATCTTGACTGAGACGATCATAGCCGTTAATAACATATAAAAGACGGATAAATCTGTAAGAGCGTATACATCCAACACTGTGGAAAATCCAATCAGAAGCTGACAAGGCCCACGCAGTCGCCGTCCATGGCAATGGAAGAATGAATGAATCCCTCCCCCAAAGAAATGAACAAGACAAGAACAAAGACAAAGCGGAGCAAGACAACCTTCTTCTCTTTCTCGGCTCTTGGCCTCTTTTCTTGGCCATGTGTCGTCAACTTTCGTTCTGCTATTTCTCCTTCCTTTTTTTGGTTTTCTTGACTGGATTCTTGATCGTTCATGGCGAATCAAATTTCTCCCCATCTTCTTTTACGCCCATCAATCGCGATCTCTACCATTCCAGGTTATTTCTCTTTCCCCAATCTAAAATTACTACTTGTTCGATGTGTTTTTTTTTTTCCGCATATTATGCACTACTTCTCATAATTTCAGTCCCACTCTCAAATTTGATTACCTGTTAGTTTCCCTTGAATCTGGGAAAAACGAATTTTGGTAAAGTTGGAGGTTACTTTTAAATATGAAAATTTTTAATTAAAAAGAGAAATTTGGAGTTGTACCTTTTTCCTTGAGTTCGGTATCGGAGTAAATGGGTAGTTTCCGGAGTTTCCTTTCTTACTGCTACGTTTGGTTGCTGGGAAATTTTGGCAAAATTAGGACATCGAAATCACGAATCTTTCATTTCATCTCTACTCCTAACATGGCAGGAAAAAAGACTACAGTTTCCTTAGGTTTAATGACCTTTGGCTTTGCTTCCCCTGTACCTCCCCGAAGAAACTATAGAGACAACATCCAAAGTAGTTTTTTCCTTTTAAATTTATTCTACGGTTTTTAAGTAATAGGATTGGGGATTTAGATTTAGCAGTTGAGAGAGTAAAACTGATCTGTTCAATCGTCTTGGTTCCGCATGATATCGCAGTAATGATTTGATCGAGCAGATGAAGTCTTTAGTCCATCGTCACCCAGATAAATTCAATGTATGTAGTATATCCTTTCCATTCTTTTCTTTCTAAAGCTTCATTTAGTTAGACTTCGTTTTAGGATTATCCCTTTCTGTAACAGATTGAGTCAATCCAAGCTGGAAACAAAGGCTATGAGGCAGAAGTCACAGTCATTACTTATTGCAGCAGTGGTAGCGAGAGTGATGACAGGTCAAAGTTCCGGATCCTTCTTGTAAGTTCCCTGTGTGTTTTATATGTTTGGATCAGTAACGAAGCCCATTATTCAAATTTAAACCATGAATTACTTGTTTGCTAAGCAAACGTTACTCTTAATTTAATACCTTGTAGCTAGACAGTCTCTGTTTAGTAATTGCTGGTGTTTTTGACAGATGATTCCTTTTCTTCCAGACTTTTGGACAGCATGGGAGGGAGCTCATTACATCTGAACTTGCATTCAGGATATTGTCAATTTTAAGTGAAGAACAGTTCCTACCAGATATGGATCAAGCTTCATTAAACAGTACACTCAGCAAGCTTGTCATAAAGGTAACTTATACTTTATTGCGTGAATCCTCTCCCTATTGCACATTAATTAAAGGTCTGTAATTTTTTTTTCAATGCTGATTTGAAATAATTTGACAGTTGGTACCAATGGAGAACTTGAATGGCCGCAAACTTGTCGAGGAAGGACAACTTTGTGAACGGAGAAATGGTAATACAGTCTAGTGATTTCAAATATAACTGTTTGTGAAGAAATTGATTTGCTTTAGGTATCTGTTTTCATTTTCTTTTCTCCTTGTTGGTAGGGAGAGGAGTTGATCTGAATCGAAATTGGAGCGTAGATTGGGGAAAGAAAGAAAAGGTCCGTCATGCCTACTCATTTTATATGCTCAAGTCCCTATTCTGCAGTTCTCAAGACAGTTGAATTTATAAGCATATCTCATTAGATTAATTTGGAATGCATCTTATTGCAAGTCTGCTTTATTCTAGAAGATGTTCTCTAATTTGTTCAATAACAGGATTATGATCCATATGAAGAGAACCCTGGAACTGCACCCTTTAGTGAACCTGAAAGTCAGATAATGCGAAAGCTTGCCATATCATTTGATCCTCATATATGGGTTAATGTTCACTCTGGAATGGAGGTAAGTTGTCCTTATACTCTAATGTATTCCCTGATTTTAGCACTGACGTGAATTTAATCTTCAGATTCTTACTTGCTGAAATATTAGGCTTTCTGCAGTATGCCCCAGATGGCAGTTTATACCGGTGGCTAGATGCATGTCCAGTTGAAGGAAGTTCGGAATTAAAATTTTTTTTGTTCCCAAAGCCACCAGATTTTATCAGAATAAAATTTCTTGGCAAATCTGTCCCTAGAAGTATTACCTTGGCCTTGGCAATGCTCCTTTCAGGCCCATTGTTTGACATATCTAAAACAGATTATAAGAAACACATTTGTGATCAAGAAGAGGAAAATAAGATGGATTTTTTCATCTTACCTTGGTTTTTTGTTGATAACAAGCAGACACCTTAAGAACTTTAGGAATTTTCTGGTGCATGAGATTGCTTATAATTATTATCTTTGACATTCATGTCTGAAGCTCAGTTCTTTTATACTTGATAGAGAGTTCTAATTTTGAAATAGAAATGGCTTTCTGTAGGACATGGATGTGTCAGCACTAATGCTTAAGCTCGGTCTTTACTGTGTGTTTCTTCTGTTCACTCTTAGGGTTATTTCTTACATATCCTGCAGGATGACATACTTCTTGGTCTTGACTCTCATTTGTTCAGGCGTTGTTTATGCCCTATGACCACAAAAACACAACCCCTGAAGGGTTGCCTTCGCAAAAGATGAGGTCCTTGCTTGAAGAACTGAATAAACTCCACTGCCATAACCACTGCATGATTGGTTCAGGCGGAGGCTCTGTTGGGTTTGTACCTTATACTAAGACCACATCATGTTTTCTCAGTTGAAAAGATTTTTGATAATGTCTTGTGCTTGTCAATTGATTGAATATGAATTGTTTATTCCCCTATCATGTCCTCTTCTGAGGATGCTTACTATGCAGCAGAATATTCATTTATTTTCTTTTTCCTTTCACTAATCTTTGATTCTTTTTTCAACTTTTCTTTGTAATTCTTAATTTAGCTATCTAGCCCATGGAACAGCCACGGATTACATGTATGACATCGTGAGGGTGCCCATGGCTTTCACCTTTGAGGTTTGTGAATGCGAACTCATTCTGCATAATTTCTCATGTAACATTTGTCTCATTGAAGTTCATGTCTTACCTGCGTACTGACAGATCTATGGAGATGACACAGCGTCATCAAAAGACTGCTTTAAAATGTTTAATCCAGTTGACCAAGCTACCTTCAACGTATGCCAGATTGCTTCTAAAATTGAATATTGGCACATTTTTCATTTTTGTTTTCTTTCATAAAATCTCCTTTCCTTTTACACGTACATGTAATAAAACTGAATCTTACCTTTTTATTGTATCTTTGGGTTCAGCAAGTTCTCAATGATTGGTCAGCTGCATTTTTCATGATATTCAACCTGGGACCATATCAACTGGATGAAATCCATTCAAAATCCTCCGTGGTCAGCTTGGACAAGTGGGTATCCATTGATGAATATCTTGAGGGATACTTGATGCAGAGGACAAACCGATACGGGAAGAAGATAGAAGTAATTGATTTTGGAATGCAGGAGATAAGAACGTACTTCAGGCTCTTCTTGTTGTCCTCAGTGCTGTTAATGTTTATGTTTTGTTCTAGAATTTCAAAGAGCAAATTTAGTCGGCCAATTGTTCCTTCCTTGCCTCTCTGAACCTTTTTTTGTAGGTTTTTCGAGAGAAGTATATAGAAGTTTGATTATATTAATTTTGTGTAGGAAAGGTTTGTTTTGATTTATAACAGTACACCTCCCACATTTTTTTTCCTCTGTGATGTAACATCAATTTCAACTGAATGAATTGCTCATTAACTTGAATTAGGCTACTAACTTCGATGTTAATGTCACTCTAGACTTTCATTGCTGAAGGTTGCCTGCTCAACTATACCCCAGAGAGAAAGATGTAAACTTGATGCAATTCCTAACAAGTTTTAATGTAAATTTTACTTTAACGAGAAAAAATGTTTCCAATTTTCAAACTTTATTCAATTTGTAATTAAATTCTCTCCCAAAAAGATCTTAAAGTGTGCTCTTTTATTGCTGACTTGTGCATCTAATATTTACATTTATTTACAAGAATTAAGATTAGCTAAAATATTTGAAGGCCTATTCCTCCATTAACTTGGTGAATTACAAGAATTAAACTCAGGATAGGTAGTCAAAAGTAAAAAAGTATAATAATTGCCAACTGAACTAGTTTCTTGACCAAGGGAGTTTATAATGTAGTTTGGATTGCCGGTTTCCTCTTTATGACATGAGACCTTGAAATTTACTATAGCAAAAAGAAAAGCAATTTAGTAAAAAAGTCAAGAGATTTGATTTATTTTTCACATAATTATACAAGACTAATGTGACTAATGTCGATAAAATACAAGCACTCTAACGAATTGCATATCTTTGATGATGACGAAATATATTCTTTACAGTCTACAAAGGGAGAGGTATAAGTCTTTTGTGCTTTTGTATTAGTGTATCAGTTTGCAGCTTCTATCCAGAACAGCATTAATCATAGTCGTGATGCTTCTCTGCCAAGATATTGGCGGGACGACTCAGTTTGTATAAAACATTTCCTACAAAAAGAAGTTTAGCCGAAGAATTATTTGATGGAGGGGATTACCAGTATTAGTTGTAAAAGTTACAAGCTAGATTATTCAGCAGAAAAATAATTGGTAGACAACTTCTCGGTTCATTCTCTCCTAACCTCACATGAGCCCAGAATTTTCCATTTGAAACAAGGCATTTGTGTGGATAAAAGTTGATGCTATCAGCTTTTAGTGTTGATATATTTGCAAATTTAGTTCCATTTACTAACCTCAAACTGGTATCTTACTGCCTCAAACATGGGAGTTGATCTCACACGGTGTCCTGGCTGGATAATTCTCTTGCCAACTATGATCTCAGTATCTGTTTCATATATCTCAGAGCAGATCGTAACATAGCTCTCGCCTTCCTGTCCGGGGTGCATCCTGCCATGATCATTTCTTCATACACAGATGGAACCTAAAAGCAAATCATATTGTGAGAAGAAAATATTTAAGGAAGTCTGCAAAGAAATTATATTGCAAATTTTCCCCTTCTGCGGGAATTTCTCATCGACATGGTTTAAGGTATCCACCAGATATACGAGTCCAGGCAGATTAGCACATGGAAGAATATGGGTAAACACTTCTTTTTCCAGCAACAAGCTAGTGTATTTATTTCTTGCACTGGGTTGTTATTAATTATCCCAATAAACAAGATGAAGATGAGAGCTGCCAAATTGCCAGACAGCATTAACTTATCCAAAAAGAACTCTTACTGGATTATGCATCATAAAGAACTGCTGAGAGGACCTTATCGTCCTCTTTTCAAGGATGCAGGTGACTTCGTACCTTGTCAAATTTATCAACACGAATCAGAGCTTTCATGAGTGTAGTATACGTAACAACATCTGGTTTCAAGTCCTGCAGGTATCAAAATGCCATTTAGCAAGATGGTAGCTGAAATGTCATCAGTAAGATAGTTACTCAACCATAGCTGTAGCTGAAGAATAAGTACTAAACTGACCAAGGAAAAAAACGAGCTTGCCTGATTGAGCAATTACTTACATTTTCTTTCATGAATTGCAACACAGCAAATGCTTCAACATCTCTTCTATCCTCACCAAATGCATTGATTAACGAATTGAGAGCCAAGATGCTGGGCTTTAGCCCATCAATTCTCATGATTCTAAAGGCATTTACTGCTTGTTCAGACAAACCCTTCAAAAGAGAAGAATAGAAACTATCAATTGCACTCTTAATTTCATTCCTGAGAAGATATATGGAGATTCAAAAGGAACAGTACAACTATAAGATGAGGAAAACTAGACCACCTTTGTATTTTAAGTGACTTGGATTATTTTTAGTAGTCAATTTCCTAATAATATACTTAGACCAATTCTAAAAGCTCAGCAGGAGATGTTTGAAAATGTTGGCAATAGCTTGATCCATTCTTGAACCCCTTGCTCTGTTTCGGGCTTAATGAGCCACATTTGACATGGAGCAGATCACTAGCACTTATATGATGTCAAAAAATCAGAAGTTCAAAGAGCACAAATAACAGAGAGGATTTAACACCCACGCATCCATAAGCCGTGTAAACTTTTTACTAACTAGGCTAGCATAGCTTCTAATTTGTAATGCTACTATGAAATAAGGAGAGTACTAACTCCAGGCGTTGTAAAGGAAAACATGATTTGACAGATGTCCAAACATAAATTAGAGGTACACCTTTTGCAAGTGAAAAAGAAAGATGTCCAGTTTAAGTTTTTCTCCAAGTCAACGGAATAATTTAGACAAACAGCTGCTGCGGAGCAATAATTAAAAGGTTTGAACCAAGAACATACCCTCTGTGCATAGGCATTTATTAAGGCGTTGTACATGGTTGGGGATGGCTTGAGACCTGCAGATTTCATAGCCTCCAAGGACTCTATAGCATCATTAAATCTCCCCGACCGTCCATAAACATCAATAAGAGTGGTGTATGTTACAACATTTGGAAGAATCCCCTGACTCTGCATTTTCCCCAATAAGTTCCTAATTCCGTCCCACCTCTCCTGCTCTCCAAAAGAATTTATCATAATGTTATATGTAGTGGCACATGGCAAGTACCCTCCTTCCTGCATTACCTTAAACAACTCCTCTGCAACATTATGGCGCCCTGACTTGCAGTGGCAGTCAATAAGCGTGTTCCAAGTAACTGTATCAGGCTGAATCCCCTCTGACAACATCCGATCAAACGTAGCCATGGCATGATCAAGACAATTATACTTGCCAAAAGTATCTATCATCACATTGTAAAAATGCCTATCAGGTTTCACCCCACTGCTCTTCATCTCCCGCAGTACCTGAAATGTTCTTTGCCACTCTCCTCTATCGCGATAACCAGCTAAAATTCTACTAAAAACAAAGGAATTGGGCTGCACATTGCTGGCCTCCATTTCTTTCAAAACAATCCTGGCACTCTCCCACCTTCCCGCATTCACATAAGCATCAATGAGAAGACTGTAAGTATGCTCATCAGGTGAAACGCCACTCCTCTCCATCTCTGAGACAATCAACTCCGCATCTTTCAAAGAACCGGTTTTCACGTACCCTTTCAGCAGCGCGTTGTAAGCCTTGGTCCTAGGTTTCAATCCACTTTCTTTCATTTCCTCAAACAAAGCCTCACCCTCCACAATTCTCCCGGAACTTCCCAATGCTGATATAACCGCCACAATAGTCGAACTTTTTGCGCTCAACCCGATGGCCTGAAGCATGGCCAGAAACTGCATAGCCCTGGTCGGGTCTCCAGCTTTTGCAAAACCCACAATTATATCGTTCAAAAGCTGCCCATCTAGCTCAATCTTATCGCATTCAATCTCTCTATAGAGCTTCTGCAAAAGGGCAGAGTCAATCTTATTAGTTCGCGTAAGAGACTGAATAATCAAGCTGTAATTAACAAAATCCGACGGGTATCCGTCTTGTCGCATCCTAGACATCAAATTGAGAGCTTTCTCAAGATCGTTATTGCGAGCACAAGCACCAATTAGGGCATTATACGTTAAAGGGGTCAGAGTTTGCCTCTGCGAGAGCAAAAATGCTTCGTATAGCTTCTCCGAACGGCCAAGTGCGTGGATTAGAATAGAGTAGAGCAGCTCGTAGGAAAAGCAGAGATTGTGTTTTTGCAGCCAAGAAACGACGCCGTATGCAAGGTGAATGGAGTCCGAGGATGAGCATAGTGATTTCAGGAGTGAATGCCACAGCGGGGCAGGCACGGCCCTATACGACTCAGCTAGTTGAAACTCAGCAGGGTCTAGCGAGGTGGGCGGAGCTACTTCGGCATCCGAATTCGTGTCCAAATCGGCGTTGGTGGACTTGGAGAGGAAGTTGAGGAGTGGAGTGAAGTCGTAGCGCCGGCTTTGGATAGAAACGACGCCGTTATCTTCATCAACTTCATCGAGCGATTTCGATGATGAAGAAGGAGAAGAAATAGAGAAAGATGGTTCACTAGTTGCAGTCGCAATTACAGCAGTGGTGGCCGTGGCCCATAGCGGTGGCTGGAAGACGACGTGATAACGTGTGAGCGGAGGATACAAGGAAGCAATCCGAGCGGAAAGAGGTGGTGGTTGTAATAGGAGCATCTTACTAAACCTTCACAAATTAATGTTACCTTAATTTGTAAAGAGCGGGAGACTGAGAAAACAAGTGTATTTTGAGGTAGAAATTTGCAGAGAGGTAGATTGACGGGGTTAGAAGATGGTTGCTTTATCGATTCATGGCTGGGGCTCAGTTTGTGGTGGTGGTCACTGATGCAGACGATGAACGCAGATTTTTTGCGAAGTAGTGGATAATTTCTTCCCTCAGAGATCCGTTACGTGGCCATTACTAGTGACAATTTCTCCGGACACCCTGATAAAAAAAAGTGTGTGTATCTATATATATATATATATATATATATCTTTTTTAATATGATGAAATTAAATTTAGCCAAATATTTTTAATTTTCAATTTTGGTCAAAAATAAATATTTTAATATTTTATTAATATTAATATTATATATATATATATACTGAATACCAACTCAAACCCTTCATTAGAACTATGCCCGTAACAAAAAACTGCTAATTGCACTCTTCACCAGATTTCAAAAGACAGTTGGGGGAGCGTCTTTCGGTAAAGAAGAGAGAGAAAGAGGCGGCGGTTTTTGGTGAAGAAGGAGAAGAAGTCGAGTAGGGGAAGAGTCTGTTTTTTGGTAAGGAAGAAGAAAGAGGCTGCGATTTTTGGAAAAAAGGGTTTGCGTCGGGGAAGAGGTTGCATACAGTGAGGAAAAAGAAGGGGTTTCGATTCTTGAAAAAGGATCTGTGCTTTTGGTGAGGAAGAGGAAAGTGAAGAGGCGGCAGCTAGGTATTTGTTTTGGGAATAGAAGAATGAGGGAGGGTATAATTGTAAATTTAGGTATTTAGTTGGGTAGCATTCTGTGCTCAGAACCAGTTGTTGCCGCCATAGGAACTCCTGCTGTCTAGGTTAATTTGCCGCCGCAGTTGCGATGGGAGGCTCTCGGCTTCAAGTTAACAAAGCCCACAAGACACGCTTCTCATCTAAATCAACCCGCAACCTCCACAAAATCTCTCTCAAAGGTAATAATAATCTCTCCATTCTCGGTCCCCTTGAGGTTTTCATTACTTTTAATCTTCTTTTTACCTTTCTTCTTTAGCGTTAGTGTTGTTTAAACTCAAATATTCTCCTGAGGTTGATTGTGCTTAATGGGTTTTCACTGTATATCATTCAGTTTTTGAATGCTGGCTGTTTTCATTGAACCTCTTATTAATGCTGTTCACTACATGTCCATGGCGTGCTTTTATAGTGCTCCTCATTGAATTAAATAGTTTGGTGTATCAGATAAGGCGCGAGCTGGGAAACTAGAGAACAATGTTGCCAAGGGTGCTCGGGCTGCCCGAATTCAGCGCTGCAAGATGGTAATTGGCGTTTGAATCTCTTTCTTAGTACTGGTTTTGCTTCCTACCATTTGATCGAACATACTGTTGATGGATCTTCTACTCAAACTTGTGAATTCTTGTAGCTGCGGGAGCAGAAACGTGCAGCTGTTCTCAAAGAGAAAAGGGCTTCGAGTGGATCAACAAGCCCACCCCGTGTAATTGTGAGTTTTCTTATTGTTCCACCAGAAAGTGGCGGAACTATTTCGGGATACAGTGGTTTCATTTACACTATTTAAACCTAAATGTTATTCTTTTTGGGTTTTAGCTTTAATTCTCTCCAACTTTTGGTTTCTCCTACTGACAGGTGCTTTTCGGCCTTTCTGCTTCTGCGAACCTGAAGTCGCTGACTGAAGATCTATTGAATGTATTATCTCCAGAAGGTAGTGGTGCTGCATCTTCAACAGTTGTTTCTTCTGAGTACAAACTAAGAGCAACAGTAAGTTTACACTTTAAGTTCCGTGTTAATTACACCAAAAGTTCTATTGAGAATCTCTTGGTGCTCAAACACCATGGACATTCTCATATACTTTGGGAGTATATGTAGGTTAGTAGAATTGTGAAATAATGGTGGGTGGACTGTACTCAATTCTCATCAGCTTAGCCATCTTTTGCAATTTGCAAGTTACCAAGATGCAATTTTCATGTCAACTGGACACAATTGTTTATATGCAAACAAGTTTAGGTTTCTGTTTCTGCTTATTTGTGGTGGAAAAACTAGGTGTCCTTTGATTATATATGGACATATAAAACTTACTGGATTCAGTGATCTCTATAATATAGGTATTGCAAGCACCACATGGAGATTTACTCACATGTATGGAAATGGCAAAGGTTTGGAATTTTTAGTTCCTCCATATATTTTTGAATTTGAGGTGGTTTAGACACCTCAATATGCTACCTAATCTTTTTTATTCTTACATGTTTGTTTCTCCAAATTTTTGAAATTTTTCGAGTTGTAGGTTGCTGATTTAATTGCATTTGTGGCATCTGCAAACTCTTCATGTGAAGAAAGTACCTCTGACTATATTGATTCATTTGGAAGTCAATGTCTTTCTGTGTTTAGATCAATTGGTTTGCCAAGCACCACTGTATTGATCCGTGTAAGACCTGGACTGATATGCTTTTTTGAGATAAAATCTTTTACTAAGAAAAGTAAATTTGTATTTGATAGATTTTATGCATGTATAGGATTTACCAACTGAGCTGAAGAAAAGAAATGATTTGAAGAAGATTTGTATCTCGGATCTTGCTTCTGAGTTTCCTGAGGATTGTAGGTTCTATCCAGCGGATACAAGGGACGAATTGCATAAGGTGATTGTCTTGTTTCATTTATGGTTGTTTGAGTTTACGTTATTCAGGATTGTTTAATTGCTGAATGGTTTTTGATTCTGTCTAACATATTTCTTTTGCAGTTCATGTGGCTTTTTAAGGAGCAACGTCTCACAGTGCCTCATTGGCGAAATCAACGACCATATCTTATGGCTCAAAAGGTGCTTTTACTTGGCTTTTATTTACGTCTAATTGACTTAAAAAGTAGAATTCTTGGTACTAAAATGGAAACACCTTCATAAAAATAGTTATCAAGTTTCATGGATGAAGTACTTATTTTCCTTTCCCCTTTGAGGGAGATGGTAAGGATTCTCTTGCTTCAATTTGTCTATCTGCCAATCCTTTAACAGATTATGGCATTAGTCTGTTGATTCTTTATCTAAACTCTTATTCATAAAATCCTTAGTTTCTTTCTAGAGCAATTGCTTAATTGTGGGCCTCATTATAGGTTGATATGGTAGTGGATGACTATGGTTCGGGAAAATGCAATCTTCTTCTCACAGGTTACTTGCGCTCTCGTTGCCTATCTGTAAATCAGCTGGTAATTGATGTTCAGCTTTTTAGCTTGCTTTATTTATTTATTTTGCATTTACCTACTGGTGTTATATCTTATTTTCTTTGGTTTCAGGTTCATGTCCGCGGTGCAGGAGATTTCCAAATGTGCAAAATGGAAATTTTGAAGGATCCATTCCCTCTAAATGTGAGAAAACAACAGGATGCCATGGAGTCTGATGATATCCATGCTGCAGAGGTAGTGGCATTTTTCTTGGCATTAGTAAAACTTTTAAAGGGAGTATATAGTGAGATTGAACAACTGTTAAATGATGGTTATTTTTTCATTTTTGCGATTTATAATTTTACTTGATGACTCATTCTAGGCTTCAATTTTGCTGATTCTGATAAAAGTTTGATCCTTCTTTATTATATCTTTAATATGTTATTTATTTTACTGTGCAAGAGTAACAATTCATTTGTTCTTTAAGTCTATTATTACCTTTATGACTATTTTAGCTCTTATTGTAAAATTTTCAGGTTATTCGTATGCTGGTTCCTGATCCAATAAAGCAGGAGCCTCTTCTTGTCGAGAATGTTCCAGATCCTCTTGCTGGAGAACAGGTAACCTTGATGAGGATTTGTCTCTTTCTTCCAATTGCTGACTACATTTTTACTTTCAGTCTCCACGGTTCAGATTTGTTTTACTGTTGAAAATTTTCTTTTTCAAATCGATGCTGCTTAAGGTTGTCATGGTTTGTCTGTTTTGAACAAGGGTAAATAGGCATGGGATTTATTTCATGGCTATTCTATTGTGCATTATTGCAGAACAAATTCTTGTGATTCTTTTATATCATATTTTCCTCTAAGGGTGATTGCTCTTGTTTCTTTGCTGGAAGTAAATTTTGGCAACTGTTTTTCCATGCATCATATGCTGTTTGTCTTCTTGTGTGGTTGTAGCCATCCCTTCTGTGTGGTCAAAATAAAATTTTCCCAGAAAAGTATAAATGGGTATGATATAACTAAAGATCAGCTGGATAAGACATTGAAATGGTGATCATTGTCTCATCAGTTGTTTTGATCCATCTTATGATGGACCTTGACTGGGTGATCTACCCTTTCTTGAACACAGTTTATATTTCATTGATCTTCCCATTATACATGGAAAGTGCTGATTGCTGCTTCTCTCTTTTTTTTTTGGTCTTCTTTCTGACTAGACGTCACAATTTACTACTCTTCTTTTTCCTATTTAATTTCTTAACAGACTTGGCCAACAGAGGCAGAAATGGTAGAGGCTGATAGAGATCGAAAAGAAAAAAGACAGAGAAAGAGAGCTCTTCCTCGAGGCACTTCAGAATACCAGGTCTTATAGTTTCTTTTCAATCCCATATCTTAAAACTTTTTCCACCGAACATAAACTGATTATAGGACGGATCCTATATCCTGAATTTGCTGCATCAAAGGTCTTTTTTTTTTCGAGATCAGGATCAAAGGTCTTGTCCTTAGTATGAGGATTTGGAGGTTATTTCTTTTCTAACTATCTGAAACATATGGGATTAAGGTTGAGTTTTGTTCATAGTTTATTTCTATGTAACAGAAGAAGGATATAATACAAATAAGGATAAAAAATTTCATGAAAATAGCTTTCTACTTCTATATTTAGAAAGCTAATCTATATTTAATTTAAGTTGGGAGTTTCTTTATTCCTCCCTTATGAAGTAGGAATACAAATTCTTCATTGTTGAACTGAAGGTATGAGTAGGTTTAATTCTGCGTCAACTATGTAAATTACATCTGAATCTACAAAAAGAGTAATTAAGCTCTAGGAGTTGAATTGAAATTTAGAATGGACTTGATGGCGCATCATTGCATCCTTGGCCATCTTGACCATTTGAATCATCTACAAGCACTCTTTCTCTGGTAATCTGCTATCAGTGCCAATGCTGATATGAATGCATTTACTTTTTGTTCTAATGCAAAGGAGATTTAGTTTCCTCGTTTTTCTAAATAGATTAAGAACGTGTTTTTGTGAAATCTAGTACTTTTCATAATAGTATCGCTGGTGTTAGTATTAGGATTCTTTTAATTTCTTTTTCTTTACAAGGAAAGATGAATTGATTAAAGAGCTGAGGAGATGCTACCCAAGTACAAAAAAAAATTGAAAGATGGAAATTACAAGTTAGTCGGGATATCAATGATGTTCCTTAGATTTTCTTCTGTAGTGATTGGATGGCCCTTACTCCAGAAAATAAAGGTTCTGGAAACATTCGGAATTTTATCAAAAGAAAAACTGTCTCGAAGCTCTTCTATTTGTTTCTTCCAAATAACCTACAAAGTAACCATAGGGTTAGAGAAATAAGCTGCTCCTTCTCCTATCTTCCTCATACTTGCAATGCTCACAGTTTTTCTGCCATCAAACCAGCCATGATCAATTGCACTTTTAGGAGAGTTGAAAATCATAGAGAAAATCATAGAGAAGACAGTGCGTCTTAGTAATAAATGATGTGGGTTATCTGCCGCACTCTAGCATGTAGAGATTTGTTTCCTATAATTTTGCCATGTTTGATGAGGTCATTAATGTGTAAGAATTTGCCCACGGGCAACTTCCCAATAAAAAAACAAGACTATTCTAGGAGAAACAGTTTTCCTACATATTTGCTTCAAGGAAAACAGGATTGACCAATGAAAGGCTGTGCGCCATATGGTAGAATAACTTTACTGAAAAAGAATGGGAGTGTCTATTTAAATCATTGAACTTACTATGTCATTTATTTTGGTTGCTCATGTGCAAAGCAATTTTGCAGGCTGCTTGGATAGTGGATGATACAGATGAAAGGAGCTCGGATAGTGATGATAATAATGATGATGGTATGGTATTGGATGAAAATGAAAGAGGCATTGCTAATCAAGAACATATGCATGAACCAGATTTTGAAGATGACCAAGCATCCTTGAACTTTCGAGAGTCTGATGAAGAAACAGAAAATAATTCAGTGATGATGGTAATTAATTGCATCATATAGAATGTAATTTTGGAATAATCAACTGGACTTGTTTCATGTACCTAATCTGTTGAAAAATCAGTAGATCCTGGTAACTGTTTCGTAACTACTCGGTTTAAAATTATCCTACAGGAGAGTGAGAACTTGACAAGGGAACAGATAGAGGATGATATTAAAAAAATTAAAGAGGCACATGCCGAAGATGAAGGTATACTTCTTATTTTAATTGAACTTTGTGTTTCTTTTTTTCTCCTTCACTTTTTGTTGCTTAAAGAAGGGAAAGATGTGTGCACATGAGAGATAGGAGCAAAAGAGAATTACTCCTTGTTCGTACTAATACGGCTGTGGGAATGTCATTCGGTCACATTGTGCATAGAAGTGCCACGAGAAACTGTTTAAAAACAAGTAATCATTTTGGTGAATTGTATCAAAGAGTGTTGTAATAGCTTTTGTCATAAATTATTCTGTTTGCTAATTATATCCATAAAGTGTAAGATTATAAAATCATTGCTTCAATAGGAAACCTGGTATTGGTTAATTATTGTTTACTGAATTTTTAATTCTGAAGTTGAGATTTTAGAAATTTTGCTGGAGTAGGAAATAAATTAGTACACTAGACAACGGCAACTTGAGCAAAGAATAACACAAGAATAGCACAAATTCCAAAACCATCTGGTGGGGTTCTATGCATATCTTTTGCAAAACAATATCTGACTTTGTTTTGAAATTTATATGAAGAGTACAGATGTCAATATGATAGCCTGTACGTTTATGCATAATTATTCAGCAGTAAGTTTGGAATGAAGTCCCCAATGTAAAAGTTTTTTGTATCATAACAATGACCTATATAGGAAGATTACTGTAATTATTCATAGTATGGAAAATCATCATAGAAGGACCAACTATGTGGAGAAAATGGAGATTGATGGCTGGATAGTGAAAGGTAATGAACAGTTGAGGTAAGGGGTTAGGATCTATAGATTATATTGCACGGAGTTTAGATGGAGGCCCCATCTTAGGATGAGATGAGTTGTGTTTCGCTTGAAAAAGAGTTCACTGAAGAGGAGGTCTTTGAGGAACTCATGCACTATAGAAAGGATAAATCCCTTGGTCTCGATGGCTTCAACATGGGTTTTATGCAAAAATTCTGGCATGTAATGGAAGAGAATATTCTAGAGCTCTTTAAAGAATTGCATGATCGGGATTTTTTATAAATCTTTAAATTCTTCTTTTTTGGTACTCATTACTAAGGTGGAGGGGTCAACTAATATCAAGGACTTTAGTGTTCAGTTTAGTTGGGAGTATCTATAAGCTCATAGCAAAGGTGTTAGCCAGATGGATTGTCAAAGTAACGGATAAAATGATTGGTGAGTTTCAACATATTTTTGTGGAAGACAAATTTTGGATGTCACGCTTGTGGCTGATGAGGTTGTGGAGGATCTATTCAGGAATAGAGAGAGGCCTGACTGGATATGGAGAAAGCCTATGATCATATAAATTGAGGTTCTTATTATATGCTAAGGAGAATGGGTTTTGAGGATAAAGGGTATAAGTGGGTTGACTCCTGTATTACCACAACGTCTTTTGTAGTCATGGTGAAATGGGGTCCATGTTTTTTCAAGGCCTCCAGAGGTCTCAAATAAAGTGAACTTTTATCTCCCTTACTTTTTACTGGTGTCATATAAGCATTGAAGGATATGTAGTTCAGAGCTAGGGAGCTGAAGTTGTTTAGAGGTCTTAAACTGGGAGAAAGTGAGCACATGGAGAAGGTAACACGCTTAATTTTTTCTTGATAAGACTTTAGTGTTTTGTGAATCAGACGAAGGGGATTGCGTTTTATTGGGTTTCCAAATGATTTCAGGCCTTAAACTTAACCAAGTTTGAATTGGTGAGATTGGGTGATGGGAATGATGTTGTTAGGTTGGTAAGACTCAAAGGATGTAAAAGTGTGGAGTTGCCAATTAAGTACTTGGGGTTGCCTTCGGAGGCCAATTATAAAGATGTGAGGACGTGGGATTCTCTCTTGATAAGGTTCAAAAGGAGAGGTTGGCAGGATGGAGGAGAAACCTCCTTTTCACAGGGGAGAAAATTCACACTCATCAAAGGTATGCTGGCCAACCTACCCATGTATTATGTATCTGTTTTGACAATCCCAGTAAATATTGCTAAGAGTTTGGGATCAATTTAGTCGAGATTTCTTTGGGACAACTCTAATAGGAAAAAGTACTACTTGGTGACATAGGATAGGATTAAAAAACCAATATCTCAAGAGATCTTTTATGGATATAAACTTGGCCTTACTAAGTAAGTGGCTTTGGAGGTTCATGGATGAAAACGACATTCTATGATGTAGGATGACAGAGGCAAAGTTTCGTATTATGAATAGTGGATACTCCACAGTATTGTTAAGACCACATAGGAAGGGATGTGGAAAAAGATATGCATGAGTAGGGATAAATTTCATGAATACATTAGGTAGAGGGTAGACAGTGTGGCCAAAATCAGTTTTTAGAAGGATGCTTGGCTTAGAGGGGGAATGCTCAGAGATCAACTTCCTTTGCATGGCACAAGAATATCTCGGTTCATGAATCATTAAGAGATATTTGGGGGAAAGGGAATGGTATGTGGATGTGATGAGAAATCTCAGTGATTCGGAAATTAATGAATATGAGTCTCTTCTAAGTACGCTCTCCTTCGCCTCAATGGACGGGAGTAATGACCATCTAGTCTAGAGTCTTAATACCACAAGACCTTCTCCATTAGGTCTTTCTGTAATTATTTGATTAAGAATGACCATGGAGATCGGTTTTCCTTTTCAGCAAACTTGGAAGCTGAATACTTCATTTAAAGTCGCTTTCTTTGTGTGAGAGGCAGGGCATGAGTGTATTCTTACTATTGACAAGTTAATGAGAAAGGGAAAGATTATGGTGAATGATCGTTTTCTATGCAAGAGAGAGGCAGAGTCTTGTAACCACATCTTGTTTTGGTGCCTGTTTGCGTGTATGTCATAGACCATGGTGTATGGGTTACTGGGAATTAGTTGGGCGATGGCTAGTACAGTAAGGAATAAGGTTTGAGCCTGGAAGGGCACTCGTGGTGGAAAGAAAACATGTGGGTCTCATTCCTCTTACAACATTGGTGTGCAAAGAAAGAAATCAGAGAACTTTTGAAAGGGTAGAATATGATTTTGATAAGGTTAGAGAAAATGGTTCCAAACTCTGGGTTTTTTGATTATGGGTCATCCTCTTTATTTTATGGAGGATTTTGGGGACTTTATTGACATCCTGATTGACATATAAATATTTTTATACATGAATAAGTAGCTCCTTGGTGCTTATATTAATGATACATACCATATTTTTTTATTTCAAAATTACTAATATTTTTTTTTTTTTCAATTTCCAGTATTGGTTAATTTTTATTGACAATTTTTTACAACAATAATTTAGGGAAGACCAGATAAAGATCAAATGAGGGAAGAGAATAAGAAAAGGTTTTATGTATAGATAAATTGAAATTATGTGATTTAATGAGGGAATTTTTTACCCAAAAAAAAAGAAAAAAAAAATCACTGAATTCTGAGTTCCTATTGAATCTCACAGCCCAATGGCTTGATTTGGAATTTCAAAAAGGTCTAAGAAATACAGTTCTAAAAGCTCACTTTCCTTAGAAGTTGCTAAAAGCATCCAGTATTTTTAATCTACATTGATCCACACCTCTCTATAAAGCTACTGTGCATGGGTAAAAAATTTTACTGTATGTTTTCCCTAGTCATTATCATTAAATATGAAGCAAATGAAGTGCCATTTCTAAAGGTGGCAGTATGTCAGCTAAGTGTCAATGATTTCTTTTATATTTCAGAATTTCCAGATGAAGTGGATACTCCTCTAGATATTCCTGCCAGAAAGCGTTTTGCCAAGTACAGAGGTCTCAAGTCCTTTAGAACCTCCTCCTGGGACCCGAAAGTAATATATTTGCAATCATGATATAGGATTACATACTTTTCTTTCATCATCAATTGATAACTAAGTGCTTGTTCCAGGAAAAGAAAACTAAGTGCTTGTTGGTAAATATCAGGAATCTCTGCCACCAGAGTATGCCAGAATATTTGCTTTTGACAACTTCAATAGAACACAGAAGCATGTACTTGCCCAAGCGTTAGAAATGGAGCAAGGGAACAGGGATGATTGTGTACCGGCTAGTTCCTATGTGAGGCTTCATGTCAAGGATATACCTCTTGATCTTGCTTCCAAATTGTGTGTCCTTGCAAAGACATCACCAGTAGTAGCATGTGGTCTTTTGCAGCATGAGTCCAAAATGTCTGTCCTTCATTTTAGGTATCTTCCCTTTCTCACATACTCCATATTGAAAGTTTCGAAATCCTTGATTTAGTTCCTCTAAAGTCAAAGCTATATCAATTGTTTTTTTTCTTTTTTTTTTCCGCAGCATAAAGAAGCATGATATGTATGATGCTCCCATTAAAACCAAAGAAGAATTAATATTTCATGTTGGTTTTCGCCAATTTGTTGCTAGGTATGGGCTTCCTTGCCTCTTACTGTATCACTTACTGCTTCTTCATTAAGTTTTGAAGTTATTCCTTATTACCTTGCAGGCCAGTATTTTCTACCGACAACATCAACTCAGACAAGCATAAAATGGAGAGGTTTCTTCATGCAGGGCGTTTTTGCATGGCTTCAATTTACGCTCCTATTTCATTTCCACCTGTTCCTTTGATAGCCTTGAAGAGAGTGGAAGGAGCTGTTGCACCTGCAGTTGCTGCTGTTGGCTCCTTGAGAAGCATTGACCCAGACAGAATAATTCTGAAGAAGATTATTTTAACTGGGTAAGATTTAGTTCTGGCATATAATTATATCATGATGATGCTTACAACTCTTCAAGGTGATCTGGTGAAGTTTATAAGGAATAAATAAATTTGCTTCACCATCAACTTCGCTATGAATATGTGCAACTGTTAGTAAGTACAGTTTGTCGAGAAAAAGAATTGTATAATTGATGCCATTTATACGTGATTTTCTGTTTTGATTTTTTCTTATTCATAAGCTGGATGTAAAGGCTAGACATCCTTGGGCTCCCAATTTGATCAGCTGTCATCCAACTTCACCTATTAATTAATTATAATGAGCCAAATTTATTTAGACCGAATTTGGTGGCTAAATGCAAGTGATGCTTAATCCTGCTACTGTGAGTTACTTGACCTCATGAGTCGTGCATGAATAACAACATATTCTCTTTTTTTCTTTTTTTGTCTTGAGTGATATATTCTCTTTGACAATAAAGCTAGTTGCATATTAATGTGAATAATAATAGAATGGGACTGTATGCCTTTCATGGATTTAAGTTCATTGCTTACATCCTTACTATTCATGTCCTTGATGATTAAATGCTTAGGCTCGGAAGTGTTTAACATAATCATATTTTTGAGTTATGCATATAACTCTGAACAGTAATTTCACATTGGATCTGTCTGGAAATTTTTAGCACTTATATTTTTTTGTTCAATTCTTATTCTATTCTTAATTCATTTCTAGAGATAAATTTTT